GAGAATGTGCAGCTCCCCTTTACCCTCTAACAAAATCCGATCCCCCCTTTAATGAATGCGTTTTCATGTCTGGTCCTGTCTGCCAATCCTTCCAGACGGCACCAAGGTGCTTCACGACAAGGCAGCAGGTCCTTGTAGAGCATCAAGGGCTCAGTCTGAGCCTGGAGGGTCTTGTTGTGGCCGATTCCACCTAATCCTGTTGATTAATTTAACTCCAGGGCTAAGGGGTGCCCAGGAGCAGTGAATGGAGGTGGAGAGGAGACAGGCGGAAGGGGAGGAAGGGGAATAGAGGAGTGAAGGGAATAGGGAGAGGGAGGACAATCCAGTCCATAATTATGGAGGGTTTTTCTTCTTCCTTTCCTCAAGGTCCAGTCCAATTCTCTTCCTTTCAAACCCCTCCAGAGAGCTCTGCCCAGCTCTTGCTAATTGTGCCCCAATCTGAATTGGCAGCATTATTCAGGAGTGTGAGTTTGTGGGCCATAATTTTCACATTTCCTCATGCTAGAACAGATCCCAGAACAAGCCCAGGCTTATAATTGTCACCTTCCCTGTGCCACCCTGTACAGACACCTGCACACACCTTCTGGCTGCACTCATTTCCATGGGGAGAAAGAACCGTTCTGCTTTCTTCAGTTTTCCCCAGCTCATCCTCCCTGAAGATGTGGGACTTGACACTGATCCACGCCAACCTTCAGCAAGTCCCTTCACACCGTCTTCTCTTCCCCCCTCGCAGGAGCCACGTTGTGTCTCTGCTCCAGGAAGGTGCCTGTATATTTGAATAGCCCCTCTGAGCAGAGGGAAGAGCCCGTGAGTTTTCACACGGGCAGCTTTGCTTTCATTCCCATCATGAAGCCTGTGTCTCTTTATTTCTAAGACTATTGCAAGAGATTTGAGCAGTTTGGGTTTTTTTCTTTCCAAGCTACAGAGCAGTTGTGCTAAATAATAAAAATGTAATCACTCTTAAAAAAAATTAAATAAATTAAAAATAGCAGGATCAGTGTGTGTGTCCTGTAATACACACACTTTTAGTATTTCCCTTTCTCTGACTTGTCCTCCCATGAGATTTTCCCCTCCTTTCACCTCTCCATTCTGTTCTTTTCTGTCAATCTTTAGCCAGTATGATATCCCAGGGGAGTTGTGTATCGGACAGCTAGCTGTTTCCCATCCTTCATCACAACTAGTGATTGGTAAGCCACACAAGAAGCTGCTGCTAGATATTTCTCCACCTTTGTCTTTACAAAGGGTGTTCGTTGCTGTCTGTGCTGAGTAAGTGTAAAATGCTACCAGTGCATGTTAATGATTATTTCTATGGCAATATCCCCGTCGTGCTGGAGGCTGCAAACTGGGATTCTCCCGCTGCTCATGCTGCTGGCAGTGCCATACATCCATTTTTCACACAGGGATGTGTAACAAAAAAATGCAGCATTCAAGTTTTGGATGATTCCCCCTGGATTTGCCTAGTGAGGGAGTTTCTTTGAGTTACTCCTGCAGCTTTGTAAAACTTCTCATTGCACAGAAATGCAATGATGACATGCAGTGGTTTGTCCAGCAGGTTTCAACTGTTTAAGAATGGAAAAGACCTGTTAGATTGCAGCTTTGTAAAACTTCTCATTGCACAGAAACTTAGCAGAGATGACAGCAGTGGTTTGTTTCAGCTGTTTAGGAATGGAAAAGACCTGTTAGATCCTTGAGTTGCATCTTAGGCAGGTAAGAGAGAGTGTCCCCTGATAATAGGGGAGGCATTAGACAATGGGCTGGTACTGCAGTCTGTCTCAGCTGAAAGACTTTCTATATTATTTAATGAATCTGTGTCTGACAGCAGCAGCTGCATCGTACTAAGACCAGCTGGTTCCAGACATACCCTGGGATTTTTCTTGCTCTCTTGGTTTCATCTTTGTAGTTGAGTTGTTGGAGCCTTGGACTTGGCACTAGGAGCTGCGGCTTCTTTTCCCAGCTTTACTCCTGACTCACTGGGTGATCGTAGGTGGGTGACTTCCTCCATCCCTGCCATGGTTGTAAAATGGAGATAATACCAGTTGGGAGCTGTTTGGAGACTTGTGGATAGAAGATATTACATCAGTTTATGTGGAAAGGTTCAGCTCTCCACCCTCTTAACCCTGTAGCCAGCGTGATGGCCAGCACGATCGCTGGTGCTTCTGTGAACAGGACAGATTGTTACTCATGACAATCAGTTGTCCTCTCCCATAACTTTGTGGCCAAATCAGGCCTGGATCCTTTATTAGGAGCATAAAGCTATGGAGGAAAGTTTGGCTGTTTCCCCTTCCAGATTTCTGCAGTAAAAAAAGTGAGCAAAGTGAAGTGTGGGAGATGAAACACGTTACACATCCTTTTCTAGGCTCTTGTTTTTTGCCCTTCACTTGCCTTGCTCTATAGGGTGTAGGAGTTGGACCAAGCACATGGACAAGCCACAGGCAGATGTGACAGCGTTACTCTCAAGTGGGCAGAAGAGTTAGATCTTCAAAAGTCATTTTGACATTGCTGTCACCATAGTACTTGCCAAACAGGTTGGGGCTGTGTTATACCAGGATTGAAACATGCCACAGATGACAATTCCTGTGCTAAAGAGCTCAGGGGCTGAAAGCTGCTACTGAGCATTTCTACTAACTATATAAAAATGTGTATTTACTGTCAAGAAATATGCTCAGCTGCAGAGTTAAATGACATTTAACTCAGTTATATTTTTCTTCCTCTTCCTCACATTGACCCTCTCACCTTCATCCTTATTTTTTTTGTGTATCAATTATTTCCAGAAAAGATAGCAATTAAACCAATAATAGTTAATGACTTAAGTGATTAACTGAAAGAAATTTACTGTATGCTGTAGGTTTCCAGATGTGCTTTTGCACAGTGTGGTACTCCAAGGTCCAGATGTGCTTCTACCTGCCCCAAATCATCTGGGACCCAGATGTGGAGGGCTGTTATTTTCAAGTACAGATGTTCCTCTTACACCACTCGAGACTCTAGACCTTCCCTGAAAATGGACATAACCAAAAAAACTAGTTTAGTAACAAATCTCTGCAGTGTACGGTGAAACTCTCTTCAAAATGTGGGACAGATGTTACTCCTCTGAAGTCAACAGTGAATTTCTCGCTGACTTCAGTGGGAAATAAAGGGTTCTTGATTTAAAAAGATGAACATGTGTAAAGACCCTGTGTATTGGGGGAGCCAGAGCTAGAAGAAGGGAAAACCTCTTGTTTGCCTCCAAAACAAGCCACCCACTCCTCCACAGCAGAGTTTTTCTGACCCCAGCACAACTGTAGTTAGCTGAGTTCTGACACCGCATCCTCCCCGTGAAGCCCCAAGACATGAAAGCATTTTTGTCCTGCAGCATGCTGAATGCAAAGGCATTTTGTGGTGATCTCAGTATAAACAAGTCAGCTCTGAGGGGATATTTGCCTCGTACTCCTCAAACTGCCGCCACTCTCCAGCAGCTGTTGGGGAAGTCACAGCTGCTGTTCCCAGCTATGGAAAGAAAAAGGCAGATTTTTGGATGATGATAGTGTAGGAACTGAACAAAAAGCAAGGACTGCAAAACACTATTAGTAACTTTAGGGAACTTTATCGTTGGGATAAGCCTATATAAGTCCTGTTTCTAATCCTAAATTAGCAAAGGTTTACTCAAAAGAAGAAACATTTCTCTGTGAGCACAGTGTTGAAGCAGGTTCTGCCTCTCAGTCTGTCTGTGCAGTCATTCTGAAAGACACCAGTCAAGCTTGGTAGGGAAAAATAATTAGTGCACGTTTAATGACTTTCCTGTTTTAATGAGAGAGAAGGAAAAGCTGACAGAGAGCAGATCTCTCACCTAGCTGAAAGTTTTCATATATCATATTCTTCCTTCTCTGCTGCCATGAACCAGTGGCACATTTTCCACTCTCCCAAAGACAGACATAAAGTTTTGGCCTGGCTGAGATCCTCCACACATCAACATCTGCACCGCAGGGAACCTGCACATCACACATCTGGGAAACCCCAGCTTTGCTCCACGAGAGGCCTCAGGCAGACCCTGGAATCACAGCTAACGCTCCTCTTGGTGTGTCCCCTCTAAAATCTGCTGGGTCTGACTCTAGATTTGATGCCTATCAATGTGATGTCTTCTGCTTTATCTCCAGGCCAAAAAAAAAAAGAGCAAAACTGGGTTTACTTATTCCAGCTCTAGTTGTTCAGGTTTGATAAGGGCCTCAGGGAGGCAATAGATGTGGCCCAGGGTTCAAGGCAGCGAGAAGGGAAAGGTGAAGGTCCAGGACAAGTGAAGGTGGAGAAAAAAGGAGACCAGTTAGACATTGGTAAAGAACTTCCATGGCATCGTACTGCTGTAGGAGTGTGGCCTTGTGCAAATCTCCTGCTTAAATTTGGAAAGTTAAGAGAACATCTGTATCCTGTGGGCAGCTCAACCCAGAGGTGAAGAGTTAGAAAAGTTTTTTCCCAGCTGTAAAAAAAATCCTTATATTTCTTTTTTTTTGTTTTCCTTCCTGAGGTGGTTTTTAAACAATTGTTATCTCAAACATTGATACCTGACAAAACACAAGAGGAAGTTGGGCTGCACAAGTCAAGGCATCGTGTATTGAATTTTTTATGTGCTTATTTCAGCTTCCACATCTTTTTGGTGTTAAAAAGTGAAACTCTGAATAGTAATTTCAAATAAAAACATGGCAATTTCTTGAAATAATTTAAGCCAACAACTGGAAGTTTTTTCTCAGTAACAATTTGAATAGGGGACTTTGAGCCATTCCTTTCCTGCAAACAGTTCTGGTTTTGATAACTTGACTTTTTACAATGTAGGGGGAAATATAGTGTCAGGAAACCACAGAAATAGTAAAAAACTGGTAGATGCATTATACATGGACAGAGTATTTGTTTTGGTGGACATCATCACAGTAGAGCTGAGATTACTTTGCTGGACTGCTTAACTCTTCCAACAACCTTTCCCCTGTGGATTTTTAACCACACAAGCCTCATCTCCCACATCTTTCCCTCCCCAGGTAACAGGCTGGACGAAGGCTCTGACGTCGAATCTGAACCAGACCTGCCTTTGAAGCGCAAGCAACGCCGCAGTCGAACCACTTTCACTGCTGAGCAGCTGGAGGAGCTGGAGAAGGCCTTCGAGAGAACCCACTACCCAGACATCTACACACGAGAAGAACTAGCTCAGAGGACCAAGCTCACCGAGGCCCGAGTGCAGGTAAGGACTAGAGCCAGTGCGTGGCAGGTCAGCCTGGTGGCACAGCTTCTTGTTGACCTTGGGGAAGGAGATGGTGGTGGTGGTGCTGGGCATGAGGGTGTTGGAAAAGTGGTAAACATGGACGTACTTCTTCTCTGGAGCCACATCCACAAGGATCTGAGACTTAAAATCCAGTTTTGCAGATTGCCACGTTCCCATGGATTTGCAGATCCGCCATTTGGATTTGGCCCGTTGCAGAGGTACCAGCTGGAGGGTTTCTGTCCAGGTTGGGACCAGGAGCCAAACTTTCCCTAACTTGGCAAGGCATTGAGCTCTCTGTTTGCTGTTGGAGGAAATTCCTCCATTTGCCCAGGAGGAAGCAGTGTGTGTGTATGTTTGTATTTGGTGTTTTAAGAGAAATCACACCATTTACGAACTTTGCCCAGGGGAGAAGATCATATTTTGCAAAGTTTGCAAGTTCTGTGTGTGAATTTTCATAAAACCTTTTTTTTTTTCCTCAATCTCCAGAGAGCACAAAAAGGTTGGGGGGAGGGAAGAAGAGGGGAGGAGCAGGAAGGGAGGGTTTGGAGCCGGGGGATTCTGACATCTACACGATTAATAGCCCTTGTGGGAACTCCACACAGAGACCCTTATGTCTTCCAGATAAAGGCTGGGTCAGCAGTGTGTGCAAACACGCAGAGGGATAAGGAGTGTGAACAGATCGGGGGGTATAATAGAGTCCCTTGGGGAAAGGGAAGGAAAGGGGGAGGGATTGGGGATTGTGCTGGGTTAAAGAAGTGAAATGGAGACCCCAGCAGTCTGTCCTCCGTGTGGCCAGTGCGATTAGGTTTGGGGCTAAACACAGAGGTCTCTGCACACACAGCCCAGAGTTGGACTGCAGGCACTGGGAGAGGAGGGCAAGAGCACTGCAGGTTTGTGACAAGTAGACAGTCAATTAACTTCCTCCTCCAAAACAAAACAGGCTTCTCTGGTTTTGTTCTGTGGTTCTCAGGATAATGAGCTTGATGTGCTCACTCAAAACCCAGAAGTTTGTGCTGTTTTCCCCCAGCTGCCTGGGAATGGACACTTCCCCCCACACCTGGGACATTCACTGGTTAAGGACTTTTCCCATTCCCTTTCTTTCCCAAAGAAGTGGTAAGCCAGTTGCAGCACTGCAGCAGATGCTCTCTCACCTCCCTCTGGCTTTTTCTTGAGAGCTACTGGATTTTCCTGAATCCATCATCCCTCAAGATTTGGCTATGGAGACTGCAAAAAAGAAATCTAGCAAACTTTCAACTGATTCTGGTTTTGATCTTAGCCAAAAGGCTGTGCTAGGGTGTTCCACACTAGTGTTGCACACAAGCAATAGTGTTCACTTGCCAGCTGTGTAGGTTCAGAAATAGATAGAACCTGGGAAAGTGGTTAATTTAGGCAACTAAGCTACCAAAAGTGTAAATTCCCCCAATTTTGTTTTACATATTCTGTTTTTAATTAGTCTTGCTTGTTATAGATGGACATAAGATGTTAAGGAGGAAATAAAAAGAGATGTTTTTGTGGCATACAGATGGAAAAAACCCCTCAAAAAACGGAGTTTCAGGGGAGAACAGAGTTTAGGTAACACCTTGTTATGGGGTGAGAGAAACCTGCGTTGCATGAGCCATGAGGAAGGGAAAAGCCCTGAAGTGCCAGGCACTGCAAAAACCAGAGGCAGGTTCTCTCTTTTCCAGGGCATTCTGACCTCAGTGTGACAAGGCTGGGAGAAAGGAGAGAGGCAAAAACAGGAAGGGAAAGCTAAATAAATAAATAAAGAGAACCTTTCCCTCGTCTCAAGCTGTGATCTCTGAATCCCCCTACTTGCTCCCAGGCAGCTTGCGTGGAGGTTCCTGCCAGGGCTCTAGTAGCAGCTGTTCTCTGAGGCACATTCCTGATGGCTTTCTCATTCCGACATCCTGGCAGAGTCAGCTTCTTCCCACCACTTTTAAGCCTGCCGCCCCTTGTAAAATTTTCTGGATATCAGAGCAGATCTTTTACTGGCTCTCGGGACCTACAAACATTAGTCAATCAAGTTCTTGTGGAACAAAAAAAAAAAAGCAAGAAAAAAAAAGCCACACACACACATTCACACATGTACCCATCCAGCAGGGAATCTTCTACCACCTTATAGTCTTACTCCTGTCTCAACAGAGTTTTTCAGGCCTAGAGATGTGCTTTGGATTAAAGATGGCTGTAATAACAGTAGGGCCAGCTGAGATCAGGGTTTCTGGGTGCTAAGGGCTGTCTACCCATCTATCTTGTCCCCAAAAGCTTATCATGTTACCAGGTAAAATGGGATGCAGACGTATGAAAAGTCTTTTGTGACTGTGGGTCACAACATGGACTTGAGAGCAGCCTTCACTGCTCCTCAACGTCTGGTCATTGGTTCATCCATCTTCTGGGGTCTCAGTGCCGCTTGCCCACTGCACAGCCAGACCTGGACGATCCCTGGATCACACCCAGGTCTGGATCACAGCTCAGGTGCTGCTGTCAGGCTTTCTTACTGTGTCTTGCAGACACAACATCCCTGCACTAGAATCTTGTTCTTATCACCGTACAAGCAGTGAACAAAACCAACCAGGCCTGTCCACCTCTTTGCTTCTTTCTCCTCCTCACCTCTCTGCTTCTTTCTCCTCCTCACCTCTCTGCTTCTTTCTCCTCCTCACCTCTTTGCTTCTTTCTCCTCCTCACCTCTTTGCTTCTTTCTCCTTCTGACCTCTTTGCTTTCCCACGTGAAAGGTGAACTTACCCGAGTCTCATTCGTTCTCTCTGATACCTGAGCATTCACCTACCGTGATCTCTTCCACATTTAAAGGTGATAGCTCTGTTAAACTTTATTGGCAGGCCTCAGAGTCTGGCTGGTCACACAGCTGTCCAGCTAAGTGGAAGTTTGACACGTTGACAGCTAATAAAATTCACAAGCTGAACAACAAGAGGGGGTGGTGGTGGGGAGCAGTTCCAAGCTCCGGTTTCTCATCTGCTAGGAAGATCATGGGAGGGTGAGCAATATTTTTGCAAGGTCACTGCAGTGTCTGTGTGGTTGAGACACAGGATTCCAGCGTTCAGACTTCAACACACCCAAAGGTAGGAGCCATTAAAAGGTTAATCCCAAATTGAGCATAGCCAGGGACAAGACTGCCATGGATTTCCGGAAGGATCAAGATTAGAGTGCCAAATCCATGGCCAGTGAGGCCACCAGTGGAAATTCCCACCGAGTTGTTTTTGTGCAAGGCAATGTCTTGACTCATGTGCCCACACTAATTGTCCAGTACTGAACAAATTCTTGCCCATCTGCAAGCTTCCATTTCCACCCTTCCAGCAAACAAGCTGTTGAATGCCAAGTGTTCATGGATTTAAAAATGAAGTCTAACAGCTAAGCAATTCCCTTAGCTAATTTAATGGAAGCTTTGATTTTGATCTTGAATGTATTTTGGGTTTTTACACCAGTTTTTGCAATTATCTAACTGATGATGTCAAAAGTTTTTACATGGGGGGAAAAAAAAAAACCCCTAAATAGGATTCTGTGATAATTTTGAACCTTTTTTTCCCTGACATTTCTAGAGAAGGGAGACTTTTCAGAACAACACTTTCTTATAAACAGTTTAGCTTTGTCTGTGCAGTGTTTTTCAATAGGAAAATAGTTGTCTGGGTGTGGAAATGACTTCTCAAAGCAATGCTAATGTCCAAAGAGACACCAGGTACATAAATCATGGCTCTAGGGAGTTGAAATTAATCCTTCTCCTAGACAATCCCATTTATGGATCTGTTTGCCCAAACGTGTTGCATTTTTAAGGCTAGTTACCAACAAACCTCAGTGCTTATTTCTGGTTTTTACCTGAACAATACCAACAGGAAGGAATATCAGTTAAACCAAAGCACTGCATGTGCCCAAATTGTTCTCAGGTCAACACCACAATCTCAAATCACTTAGAAATTTGTGTGCTGAAAATGTTTTTCACTAATAAATCTTGGTACATAGATTCCCACACGAACAGCTCATCTCCATATTTCCCTGGTGCTATAATGAGTCAGATGTGGCAGGCTCTGAAGTATTATCTCAAAAAGCTTTCCCACCAATCTACCAAAAATCATTCCTAAAAAATAGATGGCAGTTTTTTGCTTCTCAGCATCACCTGCAGATGATTCAGATGGTTCATACCACAGGCAGCTGGGTACAAGCACGCGTACCGCTAGCGAGTGTGTTAATCCTGGTTCCTATGGTTTGGGCAGTGGGTGCTTTCTGGAAATAAATAAGAAGCGTGAAGGGGTGGGTGCGTTGTGATGCTGATGTCTTGTTATTAATCCCCAGGAAATTCCATGCACTGAGAAACTGTGATTTCAATAACAAAATTAAACTAGACAGCAGGAGTCGCAACCCAGTGCTTTATTGATCATTTTTATGATGGACACCATTGTGATTTCTGCCTGGGAGAAAATAGATGTTTCGTTTAATAAAAAGGCTCAGAGCAATTCTGTCTCTGAAATCTCGGTGCATTTCTAGGCTACTCACATAATATGTATTTTATGACACAGTTTCAAACTGTAGTAAACAAACAGCCATATTCTAGATCGTGCTGCAGCAGCTCAGACATGCCAAATGGAGTGCTAGAAAAGAAATTCCATTCAATTTTGCTTGAAATTTTTCGCAAAGCAATTCTGTTCAGTGCAAAGAAGCTGAAAACCACCTTTTACCAGCAGTACTCTGCAGTCTAGTTTCTAGAAAATACATGGATTTCTCAGGAACTTCTCAAATATCTCTGTTGTGTGCTAGTGAGGACCCTGGTCTTTCACCAGCTGTCACTGTGGTCAAAGGTCTACCCTGTTCCTCGGGATGGGGTTTTGTGAAGATGAAGGCATCACACGGTAGGGCAGTAAGCAGGTCTCCCCCAGCTCTGAGCATTAACTGGAGTCATACAAAGCTGCTGGAGCCTAATGCTGTTTGCCTGGTGTTTTGCTTCCCAAACTCTTTGAGATGTGTCCAAACTGGC